ATCTTGTTCAATATCTACCAAAAACAAGCCCTACATAACTGGTACAGGAAACGTTCATGCATGGTAATAAAAATTGCAGACACCTTTCACGCCCTTCTATTTGCTGATGACCAGGTAATCTTTGCTCAAGATAAAGAAGATATGGTGTATATGCTAAGAAAGCTTATCAAAGAACATAGAAAATAGGGATTAGAAATAAATTTTCATAAAACTGAATGTATGTGTGCATTGGACAAGTATAAACGGATGTAGACGTGAATGGTAACAAAATTAAAAGTTGTAACACCTTCAAATATCTCGGATCTTTAATAAACAACTCTGGTACATGTGCCACAGATATACTCTACAGTAATTGTGGGGAAGAAAGCAACCAAAGTTTTACACGGCGTATTATGGAATAACAATATCCACCAAGATGTCAAGAGAAGGATATTCGACTCTTTAGTAGACAATATAGTAACATACAGAGCAGAAATGTGGCCACAAACACAAAAAATAAGAGATAATATTAGAACAGTAGAAATGGACATGAGACGATGCCTACAACTTAGCAGCGGGGACCCAGTGCGAAATGAAATATGGAGAAGGATGAATGTAATTTACTCAATTACGAAGATCTTGGAAAATAGAGCACTACAATGATATGGACATGTTCGGAGAATGTCTGAAAAATGATGGCCACACACGATCTTAAAGTGGCAACCACCTGAGGGGAGAAGGCGAGGAAGACCAGTTTTAGAGTGGGAAAAATTCATCCAGAAAGCTATGGAGGATAGAGGCCTCGAACCAGGAGACTGGGAGGACCGAGAGTTGTGGAGTGTGAAAACGGCAAGCTCCTAAGGGGAAAAGGCAGAAGTTGGTTACGTCTCGAGAGCACTAATGAAAGATGACATATCAGAAGCCGAGCCCTGCTAATGAATATATGCCGAATTCCCGGGTAACTTACATCTTTCCTTCGCTAACTTGAAATTGGATAAAACCTTCAAACAAATGTTTATCATGAGAGGAACGTTATTTTGTACGTTTTATTTCGCACGAAATTGAACGTTTTGAGTGATGCTGCCCGAAAATTGGACTTTTGGAGTTTCACTGGATGTTTTTGCAAGATTCATAGTTTTATTGAATAGAATAAAATCTTTACATTATCACCTTTTTATTAACATACTTTTTAAGTTTACTCAAGAGAGAAAAATGATTTATGACAATTCGGCAGGGCAGTGTTCGGGTGGTCTATGAAAACGAAGTGCCGTTCAATTCTGCATTTGTAGCCCTATGAACTGAGCGTATACACCTTTCATGCCTATTGTCTAATTAAAATTTCTGAGGGATCAGCTTGAATCGAGGATGTGCGATGTTGCCGTGAACTGTTTGCGGCTCTTGGTTGCAGACGCTCAGCTAATGTTCCGGGTCTATCTTCTAAATCCGTTTATGTATCCGTTTTGTCGTCTTCCCTGAACTTAACAAAAAGAAACTGCAAGCGCGAGTCACATTTGATCTTACGTCCTGGCACGAAGCTTAGTGGCACGTTGCACTACATTTTAAATTCATCGAACTTCTCGGAACTGCCCTAGGAGAGAATGAAAGCATTTGTGGACAGACTTCAGGTGCCTGCACATGTACGTCAAAATGAGGCTTGGCACGAATAGCGAACACGCCCAAGGCGAAATCTATTTAAAATGTCAAATATAATTTAACACTATGTAAAATCTTCCATTTGTGAGCATTGTTTTATCTTTCATTGAAATTGGATTGTTCACATTTACAATTGTCTTTGTTACCAGAAATACGTTTTCTTTCACGCAACACACGCTTGGCCAGCTTTCTTTTCAACACTCAGCTAACCACAGATTACATCAACCAACCAATCAACATGTGTATTGAACTCCATTAAGTTGTTGTAAGTAAGGTATTGTCAATTTTGTTTAATTCTGAGTGTTATTTTTGTGTCATTTAAAAAGTATAGTATGAGTAATTGACATATTGGCTTATGTTCTTTTAATCGAAACAAGCATTTTGATCTTGAGCACACATGCGCATGCACTTCCAGTTTCAAAAACGACAGGAAACTAATTGGAAACTTGACTAGGTCCCATGAAGAAGCTGATATGAGCTGAAAATTAAACTCTACATCAAAAAGGAGTCTCAGTAGAAAACTAAGTTGAAGCAGAGTAGGACATACGAGTCGCATAAAAGCTGAAGTTGCAGAAGTAAAAGTAGAAGAGTTTGGAGAATAAGGAAAAGTAGAAGTAAAGAGGTAAAGTAGAGTAAAGAAAGTCTAAGCAAAGATCGCTCCCAAGAATAAATATCAAAGAATGATGACCTTTCTGGCAAGATTAAGAAAATTGAAGATAAAAATACCATTGAAGTTAATGTTGAGAATATTTCCACTGAAGCTGATAGAATTATCAATAGAACTGAGGCAGAGTCGCTGAGGGTATTGTACAATCATTGGGATTGTTTTTCTAACATTCGATAATATCACATGAAAGGGGGGATATTGTTGTGATATGGATTTCTTGTAATGGTGTTTGTACTAATTATATTGTCATGTATCATAGCAATGCGATGTTAGTTCTCAATTGTAGAATAAACCAAATCCAAAATGTATGCGTCTCCAACAGGATCTGCTATTTCCTAAAGTGGACAGAGTGTAGTTAATTAAAGTTCAAGGGGGCTTCAGAGTGTAAGGATATTGTCTTAATGCATCCTTATAATTGATAAATGTTAATTAATTAAAAACGGTTTTATGCCTGCCTTGGCTGGGAGGTTGTGTACACCAGGCATATGCCTATTTCATTTATATAATAATTTTACTTAAGTCTCTACGCCTAAATTTTAATGCACACTGCAAAACTTGTATATATATATATGTATATATATATATATATATATGTATATATATATGTATATATATATATGTATATATATATATATATATATGTGTATATATATATATATTTCATCTCCTCTAATATATGTACTTACAAGTTATCTTAGAATTTTTTATGTTCCACTATGTTTAGGAGGTTGAACACTCCATTTGTTGTTGCCTTTCCCCAAATACCTCAGGTAAAAGTCAGGATGTTGTTAGTTTTGATAAGCCCAGGGGAAAACATGATGTTATATTATTAACTTCATGATATTCCGAGGACAACACTTTTGTATACATGTGTATCATGTGGGTGATACGAAACATGGTTTTGATGAGTTGACCATTGATACATAATTTCTTGATTTTATTATTCCTGTAATTTAAGACAATATTATGGGTGACACAAGAGTTTATGTACTTCAGCTCGAGGGTGGGTGACATGATGCTTTGTTGGCAATTTCATGTTTTTCGATCCTTGATTCGAATTTCTAGCTCAGTCCACAAGTCTGAAACTGTAAGCAGCTACAGGCACCACCAAACTACCTATCGCAACATATTTTATTACCGAAGTTCAGAGCAGGCTGCAGGGCAAGAGTCTTTTCTATAATACTCCCTACGAATTCTCTCTCATTGTCGCTCGAGATGGTTTCACATTCTTCAATGCCCAGATATTTATAAGTTTTACCTGGCTCACGATCGTGTATCAGTGTGCATATCAACTTCATTATTCTCGGGCGTCACTTTGCCTCTCTTTAAATTGATTTTCGCACATCTGCCAAGATTTGCCGTTCATTCTAGTTATGACTAGTTTGGCCTAAATATATTTGATTGCAATCTTTGCATTTAATGTCATATACAGCATTAGCTTTATTCAAGAAAGAAGTATAGTCTGACATTTCTGACCAGTCAGCTTATTAAAAGCTATGTTCATTAATCTGCACTGGTACATCTCTTGAAAAATCTATTCTAATTTATAATTAATTGAGGGAATGAAAGGTAATGATTAACATTTATTCTTAGAAGTATTATCATCTTTTGACATTGGAATGAAATGTGACTCGAGAAGCTTCATTCTTTTACAGATAAGTTTAGTTGCTGACTCTGGGATCCGGGGACTACCATTCGTATGTTAACCAATGCCGGCAAGGTAACATTAGGTCTGGTTCTGAGCAGGTATGGGACAGTGGTAGAAAACGATACATGAAGATTCATTTCATGGCTTGTGCTACCCATTTTAGCTCCGTTTTAAGTGAAATTCTCTGGAACAAAGCTTGAGTTCATAGATTACACTTAACTCCTGAGGTATTTCCTGACATCCGTTACTTCGTCCCAGTGGCCTAGGGACAACCCCTCGCAGGCACAGCAAGGGGTCCCTCTGATCGCCAGTAGGCATTTCTAAACCCTATTGAATTTTTACTGACTGATGAGGAAAACTTCCTTCACCGGCTAATGCAAGGTTCGGGCCTCCACTTTAAACAGTGACCTGGTGTGCCAAGCCAATTTCTCTCCTGTACCCTCCATGGGCCGAGGACAGGACGTCCAAAGGTTCATGACCATTCCCTCTCTGCTTAATCCCCACACTCCTCCGGAGGACTTCTTTGTCTGACCCCTCTTCTTCAACCCATTCAGTATGGCAGGCCCCACCACGAGCTAGGCTATCGTCGACACAGCTCTCAGGCCCATGAGGGTACTGAAGCTCCACCACCAACTACAAGATCGTGTACCCTTCGGAAGAGCTTTTTATTTTGTAATGCATCGTTTCAGGAACTAAGAAATCTTCTACTTTACAAGTGACATTTTCACATCTTTTTGGTTCCAATTTTATACGATCACATAACATTACGATTCAGACTAAAACAGTGATATGAATGCCATTATTTTTTAATGCTAATACACTTACAGGACAAATGAAAATTTATGATATGCGTTCACTCCATTCAACTTTGCACAACACAAAAAATGGAGTGACGAAACACACTTATTTGCACTGTATTTCTAAAAAAAAAAATAAATAAATAAAAGATACTTTCACATTTTCAAAAATCTAATCTGTCTCAACTTAGAACTGAATTAATGCCTTTATGTGCACTAATAAATGTATATACACAATGTATTATATAGTACTTACCGCTACAGCACCAGTGTGAAATTCCACCAAATTGTCAACTTCAGTTAGCATCAGAATAGCAGGGCACACTTGTTGCTCAACATCTCTCATATCCACTAATCCCTGTTCCATTAAAACAAGAAGGGCAGCCTGAGTTGTTTTCCGCATCTGTTGAACATTAAAAAATACATATTGAAACAATTAACCATACCACAATCTAATTTCAGGGTTTAAAACTTGCATAAACTCATAGGAAAAATAAATAAGAGAAACGGCAGCACACGAACAGGAAGCGATTTCTAGGCGGCCACCCCAGAACAGTAGAGGTTGACGCGCCATTGAACGATAAACCACCCAGCAGAAGAGGGTTCTCACGCAAAACGGAGCCCGTTGACTGCATGCTCGCTGAGGTGGTGGTTTTAAAAACAACATCACCAACCAGCGGCTAAAGTGATGGATTCGCTGGGCTCCTTTATTTTCGAACTGGGCGAATCGGGTAGCAGATCACGCTTGTAGAAACGGGAGAGGCAATTTAGATGGGAAGCGCCACATAGACATTCCACTTCAATGCACATAGCTGCGCAGAGTCGAATTTCTTGTAGATGGATATACAATAATGAGACACTTGGATGAACATTATGCAGTACCAGAAACTGATATAGTGATAAATTCTGCATTATATCTAAAAATCGTTTAAATACTCACCCGCCACACCCATGAAGAGAAAAAATTTAATTAAACCTCTCTTACGTAACATAAAAAAACTGGCAAACCTCGAGCACGGGCGCATTATAGAACTGTAACAGATCCATCTACAAGAATACTATAATCTCACATTTAAGGCTAAATGTACTGAAAAGTAGTAGTTGGAAAATTCAATAAATCGAGCGCTATGGCATAGGGGAGTTTCATTATCGATAACGTGGCAACAAATGGACCGATTTTCAATCTGTAAACGGAATTCGATTCGTGTTCATAGAATTTACACTGATGATTTTTACAAAGAAAATCCAAATCTTTTTAAATTGCTTTTCAGTTCCGGGCAGAAATTCAAAAATGTGGGCCTACAACGCGATGATGTTTCCTGAATCCAACGCCGTATCAATCGTCCAAATCGGGTGAATAGGTGCGTCAAGTGAGTTGGCAAAATAAATGAGGGGTGCCTTATCCATGCCGCGCCGCCAGCGCCTGGGCGCGCCGCTTGCTCTGGGTTGCTACAAGGGGCACGGCGACATGAAAGCGGTAGGATGAACGAGGCAGGCATGTCCGACTAATTTGTCGGATAATGCTTTCAGTATTTTCCGTATTTTCTTACTTTTACTCTCTCGTATACGTACGTATATACACAATAAAATACGTAGGGCCGAATTCATAGTCGTCACCTATGGGATAAGCAAACCCTTAAGTTATAAGTGCTTTCTCAAAATAAGTGTTCTCTTATAAGCGCTCGTATTTCATAGACGTTCCTTACGACCACGGAATGAGTGTTCCCTTAAGCGGAAAGGAAATTTGGCAACATGGCATAGGCGGCAGCTGTTTCGAAGTTCTTGGCAAGTTTACATACGCACTTCATATAGTACAAAGAGCGTCCAATTTAATAGGGGGTGGACACTCCACAACGTAGAGTTGACGTCGCGCGCACAACGAAAGACTTCTACTACCTCTAGTATGTCCTCATACAGACAAAACGAATTGTTTTGATGTTGGTATATTTTAATAATGTGAGAACTACCAATAACTAATAACAAGCAGATTTGTAACAATTTAATCTATGATTCTCATATAATTTCAATGACTGTCACTGGTACCATGTTAATATTTTAAAAATGTACTTATTACAAATTCCTAATAATAAGAAACGTTTGGTAAAAAATATAATCCAAGAACCTCTACAATGTCTTGTGCAATTTCTACATATTATTTATGTGCATTATTGGATTGTAATATAATACTTAACATCAGTTTCAATTGATTCAACGTTAACTTATGCTCTAGTATAAGTAATAAACATAAGGTGGGAGATAGGGGAACCCGTGAAATAGAACGGCTGATTTCCAATAGACTTGCGGATATTAAAAGG